CTGCGCCAGAATCAGTAATGAAAAAAAATAACCTCCGTGTGATATTGATTTGACCCATATATGTGTATATATATGGGAATATTAACTTACCCATGTCAAGGGCTAGTTGATTTAGAAATAAACCATAATTTATTTCGTCGCTACATTTTGATGAAAAGACCAATTGAGTGAGACATTCCACTGGGAAATACCTTTAAAATACTGTATTAATTTAGTTTCTAAAAAAGTGATTTTGTATTACCATTACATCACATATATTATCATTATTAATGTATTAATATAAAGAAATTTATATTAATACTAAATAATGTAATTACTAATTAATACTTGAATAATATAAATATATAAGATTATATAATATTACAAATATTAATATAAAGAAATTTGGCTAAAACGTTTCTATAAAAATGATGAATTAGTTTGCGAATACATGGTTTAAGTAATACAAGTTGCAGCATATATGATATATACAGTAATTGTATTAAAAATCGCTTTTATATGAGCAGAAGTGAGTTCAAAGCTCTTTCGATTTAAATATTGCATTTTAAATTTTCAATATAAATGCTAGTTGTCTGATTCAAAATCAATTTTCTTTCGAATAATTTTGTATTCTAAAAAATAAAAATAATTCAAACACATAAGTATATTAATTACTCTTCGCATATTCCCACTGGTGGAATGAAAGGAGCGATGTCAAAACGGTTTGTACAGTTTGCGATTGCTTCTGTGCACAGATCAGATTTGATATCTTTAAAAGTGCTTTCTCAAGTATTAGCGCTTAGAATCATTTATCTTGGAATACAAAATGACAAAAAAAATTGAGATTCAGAATATATAAAAATCATTAAAAAAATCATACGTTTAGAATGTATATAAATAATCATATATATATAAAAAAGATAGAAAAAGTATTGTTTCTGTAATTCGTATTGTTCAAAATACCTTTTATTCAGTGTAACAAAAGCTAAAATACAAACAATTTCTTTTTTGTTACATATTTTTATATACATATGTTTTTGAAGTTTTATATTTTTATATACCTATGTTTGTTCTCAAAAAATGACTGACCAATGCATTCATTGGTCATTTTTTTAACAACAATATAAAATATTCAGAACAAAAGTAATAAACCAAAAGTTCAACAGTTTCCATGCTAATTTCTCTTCTCTACTGCTAAAAAATTGGAAGGAAAAGTTTTAAACTTCACTTAATAAATGACCAATGCATTCATTATTCTGAATGAATGCATTGGTCATTTACAAGTGAGAGTTAATATTTTTTCACTTTTGTTTTTTGACTAAAATAACTTTTTTATGCATTTATTCAATTTTTTTCGTAAAATTTAAAAAATTTACATTCTTTTGCTTGAAGAATAAAATAATTCTCTGCAGAAATCATTTCCGAATTAATAGCTAATAATATTGCCAAAATCAGTGGCCAACACATTCTGATTCCAAATCCAATTTTTTTGACTGAGTAATGACAGCAAGGATATATGCTCTTTCCTGCTGAAAAATATATTAGAAAATATGTAAGTGATTTATTCACTACGTTTGCTATCCATTTATATCCACTACATCATATATCTTTCATGAATTTGCATATTTTACAGAATACAGCCTTTGTTATGCAAATTTTTGACTTATAGCTGGCATAAAATCTTCGATTAGTTTTTGATAATGATGTGTACCAAGCAGTCTGCTCATATTTATTATCATTTTATTGATGAAAAAATATGTTAAACATTTACAAATCATTTCTGTGTAAGCATATTATTAGCTAGTACATGCATTATGATTATATTTGTTATACAGTGCTTCATAAAATTTTTATTGTCTATTGATGGTGCGTTCGATGTTAGCAAGAAGTGGGTTAAGGCATTTCTCATAGAAGATCTGGGCCCCATAAGTCTGTGGAAGATGAAGGTAGAGTAAGATAATGACCTGAAAAACGACCTCAAGTTCAATATGCAGAAGGTTTAATCTAAGAATATGCATGTATATATATGTATATAAGTAAAAACTATTCTCAAACTGTTTTTAACATTTTACCTTAGTGATCCAGTAAATGGGTAATACACGCATAATCGCTTCAGCGAAGAAGTCAATCAGCGAGTAAAATGCGAAAATTGTCCAGTAAACAAGCCACTGAGTATCATCCTCCCTCTGGTCTTTACGGATTGCCTGAATTATTTAAGGGTCAAAGGTCGATTATCTTAGCTAATCTTCAAACCTCGGTTAAATATTTCAATGAGAACTGAGATCAGTAATGTTCTGCGACCGCTTAGAATCGAATGCTAAAAAAGTGTTCCACTTTAAATCACTCAATTTATGAATTACCTTAATAGTAGCATATGCTGGGTATCCAAAACCTATCAGATTACATATAAGTTGAGCCAGTGATCCAAAAACCAAATATATAGCAACCAGACCCATTATGCCGTAAACAAGCTTAAATTTTTTTTTAGCTAAAATGCTTCAACAATTATTTCAGGTCATGTTGCAGTGTATTTTAGATAACTCTGCAGAGAGCAATGGCTAAAATTGAAGTGTTTGGGTATATAATTCAATATGTATTGAAAAAACCTGGAAATGTTTATTTTTTAGTTTCTAGATGAAATAGATTGTCTTATGCATTACTTGTTCACGAGGCACTTGGGCCTTCTCCTCGAATTGTGACAGTAATTTGTCAATCTGTACGTTGTTTTTATCATACAGTAAAGCTTTAAATGCCGGTAATACATCAGCAAATGTATGAACTGTAGCTTTTTGATCTCCACTAAGTCTTGCTACACCCCCACCTCCACCTCCACCTCCAGCACCAGCACTGCCGCCAACCTCTGTACCACCGGCACTATCACTAGTACTACTGCCAGTGCTGATATCGGATGGAGGCACATCTGATGGTCCCATAGACATTGTTAATTATTAATCTGAACGCATGAATCATAACCTCTCGTTTTATCTTTGTCAAATCCTTTTTAATTATGTTAAATGCACAGTAATTCATTCTGTAAAGAAAGGAAAGTGATATCTTAATTAGTATGCTTCTATCACTTAGCTGTAATAAATGACTCCAAAGCGTAAATTGAAACTTTGCAATGAAAGAAATATTTTAATTGGAAAGTCCTGAATGTCCGGAAAAAACCGATGGATTATGGAAGAATCCATCGATGGAGACCACTCACCGACCTCGTCTAGTAGACTAGCTAAGATGACACTAACAATTGAGAATACCACTGCTATGCTCATTTATATGCCTTTGCTAATTAATTTTTCATATGCAAATTTTTTTCTTTTTTGAATATTCAGTGTTATTTTATTGTCGCATTCATTTTCTTCGAGGAAGTTTTTGCATTTCTGTAAAAATTTTTTTTAATATGCAAACCTGATGATAACTTAAACTTTTTGCTGAAAGTATCAATCATTTTTAGTACTATGTAAAAACTGATATCTCAATCAATAGACTATGAAAAATAACGAGTAGTTTTTTAAAAGTTGCTTTAAAAACTACAGTTAGTATTTTTCAAGACATACGTGGTATTTTATCACAAGACAATTATTTATGTATGTTTATTACTTAATAATTTTAATATAAATTTTTTATTAAGTATTTAAGATTGGAAAAGCAAAAAATACTTATTAAAAAATACTTATTGAAAAACAAAATATTTATTATTAAAAATACCATTTTAAAATTATTTTTATGCATTTTTTGTTTTTCTAAACTTGAATACTTAATAAAAAATACTATTTTTCTAAAATGGTATTTTTTGTTTTTGTTTGCTAGACAAAATTATTTTTTATACTAAAATTAAAAAATAGTTCTAATTATTTATACTAAACTTTAACTTCAAAAAATCCCACAACACTGCAATCCAAAAAACTACATCAAAAACGAAAATTGCTCAAAATATTAAAACTTATTTTAAATTCAAATTTTTAAAAAGACATTGGTCAATTTGATTTTTAAGTAATACAGTCAAAAGTTGTTTGAATGCAAAATTTCTCTGTATTTAGTTGATAACTTTTTAAGTAAAACTTTGCAAAGCACTGCTAAAAGAATATTCAAATGCAATAAAAAATAATTAAAAAAAGACTAATAACAAAATAATTAAAAACAATTAAAACAAAACGTTTAAAAAGAATTTATTAAAGAAACGTTATTTATGGTCAGCTGACAATTTTAGTAAAAATTAAAGTAATTTTGTGATGTACAGCTAAAGACTTGAACTGATAATACTGTGAATGTAATTTACATACTGTATGAAACTGTAATAAAGATATGTGATTAACATTGAAAATTTTGTGTTGTACAGCTAAAAGATTGAATTGATAATACTGTAATGTAGTTTACATACTGTATAAAACAGTAACAGAAAAATATGCGATTAACGAAAAAAAAAATTTAGATGAAAAAATATCTTACAAATAAAAATCGTACAGATTTGTGTGAATGCATTTTAACAAATAAATTACTGACATTTATATTTTATGAAAAAAATTTAAAAACACGTGAAAATAAAAAATGATTCATTTTCGTTTTTTTCGACCATTTACAGCCACAGAATAGCACAAATTACCAGCACCACACACAAAACCCGCTGGACACTGATTGTTAATACAAGGACCTAAAAACAATAAACAATAAAAAGTGTGAATTATTTTGGGCAATTTAGAAATTTGTTGCAAACCTGAAAGATTTTTTTGATATATAGATTAAATAAAGACTATTTGAAAAAATAAAAACCACAAAAAATACAGTACCAAGTACGGAACCAGAGCCTAGTGGACAGCAAAAATTGTTAGTATTACATGAAAAACCAGCAGGACACAAGTTGTTTACACATGGACCTATAATTATTTTGAAAAAAAAAACGGATTAACTAATTTTTTTTGATACTTTATATGCCTTAAATTTATATTGCAGGATACAAATTTAAGGCATTTAAGGCATTTTTCCTTACTTTAATCTTAAAAGCAACAACCAAAATAAGAATGTTTCAAACTTAAACAGTATATAAAATATACTTACATTTATTTAACATTAGTTTATAACTTGATTCGCATAATTTGCATTATTTTTAATAACTTTAAAAGTTTAATGCATTTTTAATCGCAGTAATTTTTATTTGCCTAGCATTTTTTTAGCAAGCAAAGCATATTGCTGACAAATTTTAGTAATTTGTCTTTTTTTAAAATTTTAATAAATTCATTTAAGTTTGTTGATTTAATTATCTAACAAATTCGAACTAATAAAACAAGCAAGACTAACTTCCTTCATTCATCTTTATTTTTGGTCATATTTTTGCATGCATTAACTTAAATATAAAAGAGTACCACTAGAATTTCCAGTAGCACATCGGCAACAAAAACCCCTATTGTTGCAAAAAAAACCTTGTCCACATAAGCCATTGATACAAGCAGCTATTGCTGGTCCACCATCACACGCTGCTAAATATAGCTAAGGATTAGTTAGAGTTATAAGCTACGGAAAAAGGATATCAGATTTTGTTAAAGAAACTGACTTGAAAAGCTAAAAGTATTGAGCGGAGTAGGTGATCCGACAGGAACGGGTATAGGGATAATGTTGATGCTACCAGGACTGAAAATAGACTGTCCTCTGGGAGGAGCTGCTGCAGGGCAACAGCAGGCTTGAATACATATCGTTCTGGGAGCTACCTGCTGGCACTGAGAGCTCGAATAACAGCTCGGAAAACAGCCGGCAGGACATGTTGATAGGTATTGTCGCTTTGAGCGCAAAATTACTAAAGCTGAGATAATTCACAAATATATCTGTGAGATTATGCAAGTTATTTTTGTATATTATACAGAAATTGTTGTTAAATTTTTGTTTACTAGCGAAGTTCAATATTTATAAGCAGTATTTACATGATTAGTTCAGCGGTGTTACGCAAAGAAGTAGAACTCACGTGATGTATTTAAACTTGTGTCTGTATTTGTAAACATCATTGTAACGTGGTCTGAAGCGCTTACTCTTATCACTGTCATTGAAGTGTTAAGAATGAAAAATAATGCTACTGAAGCTGCTTGCAACTCATTCATTTTTGTCCAATATTCTCCTTCAATTTTAGACTTTTAAACAAATTGCATTTGCATTCATACGTAAATATACAGTACTATTTAAGTGAAAAAAGTGTAGACTAAGTAAGCGTAGCAATACAAAATAAGTAAATATCGTACAATGGCTGTAGCCGAGTAATTATCATAAATCATAATGAAGGAAAATAAATCTTCAGAAAGTTTCAGTCTGCTAATCTGAACAACAGTATACCATCTCTTAGCAATTATTATGGATAATGAAAATATCTGCTTAACATTTAGGTCATTGCTTTAGATATTTATTACTTAATCTTAATGTATCGAAAATGCCAAGAAATACATATTCAGATCTCTATCATAAGAGTGGACATCTGAAGTGGACATACTTAAGAGTGGACATTTGGAGTTAATCCAGTTGAATGAATTATATAATTACTTATCATAATTGATGACAATTATAAATGCAACATTATTTGTATTTTATGATAAAAAATATAGTAATATGCATATTTAGCAGTTCTTAAACGCTTAAAAAAATTTACATACTGTTTTAATTTGCTTGAATTATTAACTGATTACTCATTCATAATGTGTATTTTGTATCGCTGATTAGTTTATTTGTGATGTAATCTAAAATGTTAATTATAAAAGTAATCAAATATTGTAGGTCACATAATAAATACCTTAAAAAATAAATATAGATTGAATAAAAGAGCGCAATTGCTTAAGTGTTTTAAATATTTGTGAAAGAAAAGTAATCGTTTGAACTAACAAAAGCAAACTAAGCAAAAATTTTTGATGGAATGAACGGTCACTCACTCCAAATGTCCACTCTTAAGTAAATTCTTAGCATAAAATTTGATATTTCTTCAAGTTTACACTTTTTTCAATAGAGTAATCCTTGAAAATGCACGCGTCACTTTTTTTTCCCAACGCATTCAAAAAAATACAACAAAATTTTTTTTGTTTTTTTTTTCAATTAAATTAAAAAAACAATACATTTTTATACTTTACTGAAATAATCAAAATTATCATTTTATGATTTGATTTTCGATACTAATATCACTGCCCTCCTTCATTACGTCAGTTAGTTATTTAGAACTTACTTAACCAACTTAATTATTACTATTATAAACTATGAGTACTTCTATTTTTGCAATATGATAATAATTATCAAATGGATAATATATTTGATCAAATTTTGTCCCATGTCCATATCAGTCAATGATATGATAACAGTTATCAGTATATCCTAGTAGAGCACATAACCACTTCTGTCATCGGCTCTAATATTATTCTGAATGTTTTTCATAGAAGGATATTTGCCTGAAATATTCATATCATCTTGATATTCGATGTTGGCTACCTGAAGAATTCTTGTTCTCACCGATGATTTATCTTCAGCAAACGATTTTGCAAACAAATAATTGCTGCATATTTGAACCATTCAAAACCATTTTAAAAATGTAATTAATCCCAAAAGATGATAAAAATGCTTACAAATAATATTATATTATGTACGATATATCATTATTCAGTTTATGATTTTTATTTTTTTCAATAAATAAAAATTTTGAAAGTTTGAATTCTTAAAATTTTTAGTCAACTTTTTTTTTCAAAAAACTTTTGGCTGAAATTTTAGAAAGCTTATTTTTAAATTTCTTACAACGTTTTGAAGTTTCAAAGTATTTTAGTTATAATTTTGAAAATTTTTTTTAAATGAATAAAAAGCTTACAAACTAAAAAGTTGTCATACTGAGTTTTTTAGAATTTTGAAAAGCTCTGATTAAATTTGTGATGCAATCAAGAAAAGTGATTTGCAGATAATTAGTTAATAATTCAACTTGGGTTTTTTTTTCGCCAAAAAATTAGCGTAATTAACACGTAAATAGCATAAACTTTTTTGCCAAGACTGAATCTTATTGCCTATTAGCTAAATTATTTCAATAAACTATCTTCGAACATTTGTTTTCTGAGAAACTTTACATTTTAGTGACTTTAAATGACTAATAGGCAATAAAATGACTTAATCATTTAATATCTTTATCTTTTATTGAAATTAATCGTAATATTGTGCTCTATAAATATAATAAAGATTATACGATTGTGATTATTATAAAGCAAAATACTACGATAGTTTTTGTCAACTAAAATTAATATAAATAAATAACCAATAAATAAAACCAATTAAATTCAAAAAATAAATAAATTTTGTTTGCTTTCAATATTTTATGCAAATGTTTTTAATTTTCTTAAAATAAAATAAAAATTCTCAGCCACATTTATTTGATAAAAGTTTGATAACATTTTTTGAAATTGGCAAAAAAAACCCAAAGATTTCTAAATTTTATTTAATTAAAAAACATTAAGCTTAAGATTATAAAATGTGAAAAAATGTAAAAAATAAAATAAAAAACTTAAAATTAAAAAAATTACTCAAACTGCAGTTATACTTAATCACATTTTATAAAAAAATATTAAAAATTAGTTAAATAAATAAAGTTTACTTCTGCAAACGTTATGCAAAAATATATTTTGTAGCAGTATTGTAATTTAAATATTTATAAGAAATGAATAAATTGAAAGAAAATTGTGTAAAATACACAAACCAAAGTAATGTTGAAATGAATTAAAATTGTTGATGTGTAAGGCTTCGGTATATATTGTCTCGAAGTTTTAACTATCGAAAAACTGGTATGGGCAGTTTGATTTTCTTTTGTAAAGATGCTATCTATGCAAAACTTGTTTAGGACAGATCTGCTTAAACTCGAATTTCTACTATTAGCATCCCGAAAAAGAAAGAGGTTAAAGGTATTATAATGACTATTCATTCGTTTGTCCACTACTATACTAAAATGACAAATCATTGCAAGTACTATATATGCTTGCGATATTATAAGACTATGTTTATATGAAAATATGCTAAAATTAGATTAAAGGATTAAAAATTAAGCATACACAAAGAAATTCATTGAAATTAATAAATATTATTTTTTGCATAATTTTTACTTTTTGTCCATTTTTAATGGTCAAAATTGTAAATATGAGAGGGAGAAGCAAAAAAAAAAAATGACTAGAAAGCAAGCAGTTTAAAATCAAATCAAACAAGTTTAGGCCGATTAACTGCACTAACACGTAAATAAATTCACTACACTTATTCTGAAGTGAAAGCAAGCCAGACAAAATTTGTTATTCACTTTTAAATTTTTGTCGTTTTCAAAGAGGAATTTTAATACGATGAAAATTGAATGACCTACTTGACCTTTTCTATCTTCAGTTTTCCAATTTGAAGTTTATACAATAGTACTGTTACAGTTTCAAAAGTAATAATTGCATTTATGCTGGAAAAAATATAAAGTTTTCTTATACGTGCACATTTTTACTACTATTACTGTAACTATATTTATGTTTCAAGTACACTTAGTTTATGCGTACACATTCAAACTCATACTGCTCAGAAAATAGCTATTTTTTATTTTTTTAAAATAATAATAAAATTCTTAATCACTATTTTTGGAACATTTATATCTTATCTTTTTCGTACCAAAAAAAGTCATATGATTACTTACAATTTAAATTGAAAAAAAACAATCCTTAGATTTGAACTATAAACTTTTGCAGTTACCCATAATAACTGATTAAGATTATATCAGCTCTGACTAGAATTATCGCGATCAAAATTAAGTAAAATATTTAATGTAAGAAACGTGATTTTGCGAAAGTTTGCATAATAATCTGAATAAAAAGCAGTACTTTTGTAAATCAAAATGTTGGCTAAATATTGAAACTTACCTTTTACGCATTACACGTGAGATGAAAGTTTCAATGCATTACTTTAGGAAAATAATATTTTAGGACTAGTTTATGTGTGTATGTGTGTACACGGATAATGTTTGTATTAGTATTTATTTGTTTAAATTCAGTGTACTGAAGAAAAGCAATTCGTCATTACCTTTGCTGATTTCGAATATTAATTGTAGTAAGTAAGAGACAAAACTTGACTATATAGTTCAAATATGTAGCAGCTTTTGCAAGTTTATTGAAACACCAAAAGTGATAACTTTATAATTTCAAGTTTGTGCAATGCTTTAGCAAACAAACAAATGTACATAACATAAGTAAGAAATATCTTAAGTGAGTTAGCTATTTCTTGTTAAAATTCAAAAATTCTTTTCAACAGAATACTGCAAATTTTATTCATTTTATCTACGACTCAATAATGTTTCTACATTTCCATTTGTATGCAAAAATGACAATATTCAAAATTTATTCAACTAAATTTTCAGATGAATTAAACTAAATGCATGGTGGGGTAAACTAAAAAATATGAACAAAATGTAAAGAAGTAAGCGCAAATGCTGGTAAAGTGAAAAGAAATAAGAATTACTTATGATTGTGAGAAAATGCTAACGATCCACAAAGATCAGATTAATCACTTTTCTAACTGATCTACAGACTCGATACTAATATAACACTCATTTCCACGACTGGATTCTCGAAGTTCAATAGTATTGTCATCAAGTAAGCTTCGATTTGTTTGAATACGAACGATATTACGCCCGTATTTATCTGTTATTTGACGAATTTCAATACTTGGAATTGTAATATTAAACATTTCTTCTGAAGCCGACGATGAATGCTGCTCTGTACTACAAATTTCACTTTTAGTTAGAAATTAGCAAAAAGTCGTTTGAAAGTTTACTAAATACTAATAATAGTAAATTAAATTTGAGTAAAGAATCTACAATATTAATAAGACAATGTCAAATATTGAAGAAGAATTTTAGATGCTCACTTTTGGCGTTCCAAATTATTTTCACATTGTTTTTTGCTTGAATTCATTTTATTTTTCTTTCTTGTTCTCAGCATCAATTCATCAAATAATTGAATTTGCTTTTCTGCTCTCATCGTTAAACTGTAATCAAGCTAACTACTTATTGAACGATCTTGGATTTAAGCAACATTTCTATTTAAAAATGTATAAATTTGCTTGAACAGATTGTAAAAGTATATTTAATAATTCACAGAGATTAAAAGTAATTAGGATTCAAAGTTGAAAAAAAATTATCTTGAACATACTGCTTTCGAGCATAATAACGAGATACAACAACAACAATAGTGACGAAAAACGCTAAACTCATCACTAGAATCAGTACTACCCATAGATTCTTTAAATTCCTTTGTGACCTGAATAATTACTTCATTTCGGACTAATTTTTATTAACACAGCTTTGATTGCTCACTTTAGGCAGCTAATTCAGCAAACAAAAACATTTACCAAAATTCAAGTCTATACTTGCATTCAGTAGAGGTGCATGCTCTTCCCGTATCTTGGCCAGATCGCAATTTGCTTGTACACGTTATTGGACTGATAATAGAAGACGACGTCGCAATAATTATAAATTGTTGCACTGAAGTTGGATTATGCATTTCAAGCTTCAACAAAAATAACAATGAATGAAAAAATGCAAATCATAACTTTTGTACTTGAAATTTTTCAGTCTCAAACATGCATATATGAATAATTTCTGCTTGATCTACTGCATATTCCGAACAACAGCACACAATGATACTTCGAACAGTGCATAAAATGAGACATGTCGTTCATTTCCAGCTCTTAATTTTTGTTTGTGCACTGCAGATGATATTCTTTGATACTGTAGTAACACACTAATATTCTGATAGTGAAGTGAAATATAAGTGTAGAATACTCCTCAAGTACAGCAGCCATAATTTTTGAATGCAATTAAATTAGTAACAAGATAATTCTTCTCCTTAACATCTGACACCTCACGCTTTCTTATTTCAGTGCAATGAAAACTTATCTTTACAAAATATTGCAGATTCATTTTGTGTATGTGTGAGGACGATGAATTAACGATAATATACAAATATGTTTAGCAATATAAATCCGAAATTGCTAGCACAGGAATATCTTACATTTGCTAATATCGACCAAAGCAAAAAAAAATGATATCAAAAAAGCAACTAACAGGAAGTGAAAAAATTTACTTTATACCTGATAATCTTTCATTAATCAAAATCAGCACTATTTTACAGTGGTTATACTTTTTGTTATGGCACTACAACCACTATCGCTGTGTTATCTACCTTTCAAAGTAAAGTAACCATCAAACAGTTGATCGGTACCTCATTATAAAATGGACAACTTTTTCTACCAATGGAATGAAAAAATTAGTAATTTTAAACATTATGAATAATCTAATATATACGTAGCTCCATTAGATAAAGATAATTTTGAATAGATAAATTTAGACTAGATCCATAAATATACGTATAACTTGACAACCTTAGATAGAGTATTTTCAATATGTTTTGTTCCAATAATTCAAACCACAGAAAACCTCAATAAACTGCAAACACAATAAATCAATGGCAATTACAAATGGCGACCGGATACAAAAAAATGCTTTCATATAATTTGAAATTTTTAGAATTCCATACGATAATTTCTATATTCAGTAACCTATCACAATATATATAAATGCGATCAAAATATAACAATTACATTCTACTTCGCTTTTTGTTTGTTTGATGAATGAAAGAAGCCACTGCAGGAAGGAAAGTGGCAATAAAGATAAATAGAACCAAGAAAAATTACTAAAAGCTGTATTGAGACAAAGTATGATCTTAATAATTTGGATCAAATTTGATTTAAATAATTAATAAGCAAGAGGAAAATGGAGGTCAATGCATCCATAAACAGAAAAATCATCGAGACATACTTTTGCTTAGTCTAAAAATCTTGAATATCATTAAGGACATGAGGCAGGAATGCTTTCAGGATTCTTATTTCAACTTTGAATAAATAATTACTGACTTAAGTGATGAAATAAGATCTGAAAGAAATAAATCGGATGTCACCTTACACCTAATATCAGACTTCATTCAACTCAGTCTATAAACAAACCCCTTACTTTTGAAAAATAAACGAAGCCCTTCTGGTTCATAAAAATAAATGTAGAGACTGATTCACAATCTATTTAAAATTAGTAGAGTAGAAAACAATAACAACAGAAAAAATAGAAAAATAAATAAAAAATCGAATCAAAGAGTAGAAAACGTTTCATACTCAAAGATTTTTCAGAGCGAAGTTGGCTTCATTGATGGTTGATTTCCAGCTGCTTCCTGAAGCCTCAGCTCAAGTTGTAACTTGATTTGCGCTAATTTAGCAAGTTCTGCTTCTAAATGAGAATTCATAATGCGTAAATGATTGCATCGAACTCGCCAATTCATATGTCTTGTCGATGGTGAGGTACTATTCTCTGCACTGGCATTATTCTCATCTGCTAGCAGTTCTTCGATCCGTTTTTCTAAAAAATGATTGATACAAATCTCATTCAGGCACTAATATTCTACATTTGTACGCATTAAATTAATATAAATAAAAGGCAAGAATGAACAATCAAAGTAATAATGTTTCTCTCAGTATATATGACGAAAAAACTCTAAAAAATTTGTACTTAATGATCTTATAAGCAAATCCAACTGTGTAAAAAATAAATATGAAAGTTTCTAACCCATATCAATATCAAGTTCGATCAGTTCTTGTCCATCACTGAAGCTTCGTGATAACAGAGTGGTATTTTCGGTTTGTACAGCAGCATCAGAAAATGTCAATCGAGGCGGTAACGGTGGAGCTGGAAGTCGCGGTGAACTGGTATCTATAAAAACCTTCTCGAAATGAATTCTTTGATATTTTTACGTCTAATACATAAAACTTAAACTTTACAATATTTCTGAAAAATCTCAAACTGCAGATTTACGAATTAGTATTGGAAATAGTGATATTAAAATTTCTTTCAAAAACGAATGAATAACTAAATCCCATTTCTGGTAATGACTGAATGACCACCTTCCATTTTTGATCAAATAATTGATGATGCAGAATAACTGCAGCAAAACAGATCAAAGATAAACTTACCTTGCCACTCAGTTACAGTAGAAAAACGTGTGACATCAGCTGGTAATGAATTGCATGGATGATAACGTACTGTTCCCTGAGGATGTAAAGCTGTACGTTGAGCTTCATTTATCGCAAGACTCGGCTTAAATCTGAAAGCACCCTCAAAAGATTAAAATTACTGAACTGTCTGAAGAAAAATTAAAAAAAAAAACAAGATACCTTGGTGTTTCTGCAGCAAAATTATTTAAGTCCAAACTGGCACTTCGTCCATGACCTTTATTTGCAGACCTTGGAGGTGGTTTTGGTGGAGGCCCTTTTGGTCCCTGTGGACTTAATGTAAAAGCTGTATCATGACGAGCTAGTGGAATATAATACGATCCAGTTTTAGTCGAAACTGTATTAACCAAAGCTGAAACCAATCAAATTTTTATAGAATAATCTTAAAATTTCAAAGAAGTAAGACAAGTAATTTGATACAATAATGAATCTGTAGTGACAATCAATATGAATGAACTAGAAATAAATGCAGAAAATACTATCGAAAACAAAAATGCTGAATTCACATAGTTATGGGAAAACCATACGCTGAGTAGGCCTTCGTGCTGTTGGGCGTACGTCAACAAGAAGTGGTGGTACATCCGAAAAATTGCTTAGTTTCTCAATAGGATCCTGCAAATATGTCTTTAAATTTAAAAATTAAAATTTGAAGAACGAAACAACAATAAATTTTTGCCCGAATAAACAAATTATTCCTTTTGAAGTTGCAAGTAACATGTACTCAAATTACTCAAATTTTAAAAAAGTATGAATCTGACTAACTGGTTGAACATGTAGATGTTCATCACTAAAAGAATGATGTTGCTGCAAATGATGGGCAGACGTTGTTCCTGCTTTAGCATCATCGAAATCAAACTGTTTCCAATCTTGCATCACTTTTACTGCTTGCACTTCATTGCTTTGCTTATTATTGTCTTCATCTACAATAATATTATTTCCCATAATCAGATAAAGTTATTCAACTATTAAGCTGTAAATGTGCATGCTATTCCTTTAACCGAAAACCTAAAGAATATAACCAAATGTAAAGAAAATGATAGTAAAGTGAGAAATAAAATAAATAAAATAAAGATATATTGAACTTGTACGAGAATTTATTTAGTCACAACAAAGAAAGAGAATCACTAACTAGTGTTAGTTTGCATTATATCTCGACGTGGCATAATTGGCGGACTGATTTCAAAAGGAATAACATCAGGAATTGGTATGTGGCCCTAAAATTAACAAAAAACGTCAATGGAATTATTTATTATGACACCAAATCGAATGTAGACACTAATTAAAGTGAAAAGCCCGTAAAAGAAATTTTCACTTTACCACGACCCGGTACTGAAACTGCAAATCGAAATAAACATAAAAACAATTGCTAACCAATAAACATGCAACTGCAGAAGGTAGCGTACCTTTACATGCAGAACAATAAGATGCATTGCAGCTGAAAATTCGTTGACATCTAGATAACCGTCTTCGTTAACGTCACTCAAGCTCCATATTTTTGATAATTTTTCACAGTTTAAGCCACTTCGTTTAAAAAAGTCAATAACATGCTCATTTGCACCACAAATAGCTCCATTTATATCATAATGTCCCTAACAAAATATTTGTTACTTTTTTAAAATTATTAGTTTTTTCGGTATTAATATTTTCTACAACAAATAATTTGGATGAAATTATCTAGTAACAAAGGTTTTTTCCAGGACACCGTACAAATATTATCCCCGATACTACTCAATTATTTCGAACTTCAACAGCAAAACATTAAAGACTGCAAATGAAGACGAAAAGTTTCATTAAACCGTCTAAATAATCATTCATTTACTTACAAGAGTTTTTTTCATTAAATGGTTGAAGCACTTTACATAATACATCCTTTGTTCATCAGACATTCCATACCATGAATATGACAGTGATTCAGAAGAAGTCTTATTCTGCAAAATTTCTTCTATGCATTTGAGTATTTCAAGAAAAGACAAGAAAATGAAATTAACAAATGGTACTTTAAAGATACCTAATGATAAATGTCTTATTTTCAATTCGCCATTTAAATCTGTTTTACAACAGTCATGTTCTAATTTTTAATATTTTTTATTTGTGAGAGCAAAAAATATCAATAAAATATTGAAAATGTGAACCTGAACACATTTTGACGTATAGCCTATATCACTACTAAGCGTTTTACTATCTTCAAGATCAGATTCATCTTCATCCTCAACTACGTCATCCAAGAGATTTTTTGTTTCTGTGTCGGACATTTCTGGAATGAATAACTATAGGTTATAAAATCCTGAAATATAAAGCGTGTTAAATTTGATTACAAAGACCTTGAAAGATTTCTGAACTCTTTTATATGCTTTTTAATAAGCTATTTTCAACAAAAAGTTCCTCAATACACAAAAAATCAATAATTTTTAATTTTTGAGGCAAAAACTCTATTTAATGGGAAATATTATGCTCAGAATTCATTACCAGCTTTATCATTTTCATCCGTGTCTTCATCAATCTCGTCAGAGCCATCGCTTGTTTCTTCATCTGAATCATTTAAGGTTTTCCATTTAATTCCTGGAGATATGGTCTGCAAAGTTAATTTTAATTTCTTTGTGAAATTCAATCCAGAATTCAATAAGCTAGGAATCACTGTAGCATTCACTGTTGGAGAGAAAAAAAGAAAAATTTTTTAAGAGCCATAACATTATCGAAAATCTATTAAGTAAATGAAAAATAAAATTATCAGCATTTTTTTAATTAAATTTAGCAATTTTGTTAGAAAATATAGCCATCTGTTAATCAGTACACCGAGACTAGGAACAGAAAGTTCGTATAAATATTTAAAAAGTTGCCTCTGATGGACTGACTTCTTCACTGAATACAATTTCAGCTTTATCGGACAAATAATCGTCGGAAGAACTAGCAAATTCATCCTTCGCAGCGTCACTTAAAAAAAGTTTTATTTTCCATACTCTTAACAACATATGAAAATGAAAATCTGTGTCAGGTATTTTCTATAAGACTATAAGTCAAAAATACCTATCAACAAAAGGATTTCCTTTTTCTACACTTGTTAAATAAGATGAGTTTTTAGCGACCATAATTCGCCGTGATTCATTTTGAAACAAATTTATAGATACACTATCATGAAATTCGACATTAGATGCACATTTTACCTGAAATTTAACAATAATTTCTTCATATATCAGTTATGAAAAACATATATGAAATGTATAATGGCTGAATAAACATGTTTAATTGAGAAGAATCATTTTAAACCAATAAAATTTTCTGATAATACAATTAGAAATTGCTACAAAATTAGAACAAGATTTTCAATGAATGAATGGCGTGAGTGAAAGATGATAGTACGAATTAGATACACTAAGCAGCTCTTAAAAGTACCTATGTAAGGAATATTAAGCAATCAATTTAAAGCATTAAAATACAGAACAATCAAAAGCTTTGATCAAGCTTCAATAGATCTTACTTATTAGAATCAATACGATGAGGCAAATATCAATATTTCTATATCATGCACAGTTTTTATCTACAACCAGTATATTTATGTAAGGAAAAATAGAACGAATAACAACACTGTATAATAAACCATGACAGTATTTTTCGCGACTTTAAAAAGTAATTATTTTCAATAACTTACAGCAGAAGGAGATGACCGTGTAGCAGCTACCGGCTGCGTGTCTACTCTCCACGTAGGGTGCATCTGAGAAGTGACAGCTGCAACCGACGAAGTTTGATGTAAGGCTGCTTCTGTCATGACCACGATCTTCAATAAAATTAACAAAGTCAAAGTCAAATTCAATAAACGAACATTAAATATTAGGAAAATTGCACAAAAAAAAACAAAACGTTAAATTTAAAATTATATGATCAAATATAAGACATATAAAACTGAACAAAGTAAGCACAAAAAAGCTAACAGAATTTTTATATGAAATCATATAGCAATGCATTTAATAATAAAGCTACTCAGTTTCAATGACGACAAATTTTTCAGAAAGTTTGCCATAAAAAAGTATCAAGTATATATTTTGTTCGACGCAAGTATACTGTTTAAATGGTTACAAGATCAGTATCGATTTTATTGAGTAATTTTATATCACAAAATTTTATATCTAAAAAAATTTCAACGTT